CAACGAGTTGGGTATCCTTACATGAAGGGGGGAGCAGGGCAATAATACCAGCGCCATCGTTTTGCAAATAGATTCATCATATGATCGTCACCGGCTTGTGTCCGCCTTGAAACAAAACAATCAGAAGCCATGACTAACCGCATCTCAAGGCATCATAAACCCCGGACTCTGAAGACGCCCGGCTACAGTGAGAGTCTCCACCGAGGCTAGATGTCTCTGGAGGGAACTTTTGCGAGACTGGAAATGGTCGGTAATAAAAGCCTTGGAATCAGCCTGCCAAGGCTCCAGGCAACTGTTTTTTGTCGGTTGGCTAGCGAGCAACACTGACGGTCTTGGCAAGGTGGATATGATCGACAAAGGAAACGATCCAACTGGATCATCTAGGGAATGCCAAGAGCGTCATTTCCAAGTGCGCTATTCCCGGCTGATCAGATGCTGTCTCGGCGATTCCGATTGCCGCCGCCGACGCAAAGATTTAGCTTGTAATGGCCGTCGGAGAGTTTAAGAGACCGAGGATGGTTAATTCATCCGAGCCTCGTCTAGATCAAAGTAGGCACGTAGGGATGGAGGGATATGCCAGCATCGTTTCAAGTAAGACACTTCCTTCGTTCATGGCCCCTTCTGAACACACGGATAGGTATTTGTGAAGGGAGAGAAGTGCAATTCGTCGCCAACAGAAGAATTGAGCAATAAATATTCGTACTACTATAGAATAGAAGCAGCAGGGCATGAATTGAAGGAGAAAGAGGACACAACACAGCAAATAAGGAGCAAGACGTCGAGGTCTAGGGTAAGTCATTGGAGGATGCTGACATCACCTGACTGGCAAAAGTGTAAGCGCTCTGAAATGACACCCAATAGCTAAGTGACTTCTGACGACTAGAGTCCGCAGAATCGTGATCAAAAGCAAAAAGAAATGATGAGACTGGGACTCGAACCCAGGAGGATTGCTCCATCAGGAATCTTAGGTTGTTAAGGTGACCTTAACCTGACGCCATAACCAACTCGGCCATCTCACCAATGGTCCTTGGAAGAGGACCCGCTTGTTGATGTTTGGCGGTGGAGATTTTTGTCTAGATGAAGGCGGCGTTGGTTAGCCCTGGGGATCCATCAGGTGAACTAGAGAGCATAGACGAGAGTCCATGAATATCGAAAGTGAATCGATCTTCATCATTGGGTATCCCGACTTTAACTATAACAAAGAATATATTTCTAACATATTATAGTATTATATCCCAATGCTAACATAGTGGCCTTTTTTAAGCCTTTTTGGCCACCTATAGCCCGCAGGAGTCAAAGACTCATAGACTGCCTATCTACATAGGTATTTAACTGCTAGCCTCCGTACGAGAAACAAGAGATCGAAAGTGAATTATGTGTTACTTTCAATGGGTAATTATATATGGATGGTGTCAGCCTCTTTACCCCCTTATCCATGGATCTTGCAGTAATTCCTTCGCCGTTGGCCTCTCCTCAGAAACCCATGTCAGCACCCTTCGAAGAAATGCAATGAAGCGCGAGGAATCTTTGAGTCGCGTCTCGAGCTCCTCTAACGTCCGATTTGGTGGAATGGGTGCCAAGTCCAACCATTTCCCTGGGCGCATCCGATCAGCTCTGAGCAAACAGTGAGAAAAGGTGAAAACGTACCAGTTTCATCCCAAAAATCAGCAGCTCTCTCGGGGTTCCGTCGAAGAAATTCTAAAGGAGGCGGTCCCAGGGCTGCAATAAGTTGAGCCAGGTGCGCTGCATCATACATATCGCCATCCTCGTCTTGCGCAGTGAAAAGTCGCTTTGGTCCAAGCAGATCCCAAGCCTACGTAGAAAAAGTTAGTATTGTGTTTATTATTGTAGTCGCAGCCCGGCCCTTGATGGGATAACGCGCCAGTCGGTGGTGGAAGAGTTAGAGCAAAGAGATATTGAGAAAAAGAGACAAGTCAAAACCAAGGGTATTTACCGTGAGCCCAACGCTCCAAATATCGACTGGGTAGCTCCAAGAGATACACATGATTGTTTCTGGAGCCCGGTATTGGATCGGCATGATATCGCCGGCGTGAGGTCCTGGGCCAGATCTCGCCTCCCCAAAGTCGGAGAGTAACATCGGGCCAGGCTTCGGGCGTATGAGGCGAGATAGGTAGATGGTCCTTTCAGGAGAAACCACTTTTCGGGCAACCGGAGATGAAAAATTCTTGATCTTCTAGTGGGCGAAGTAGTGAATCATCGTTCAGGCCCAAGAGCAGATTTCCAGGGTGAACATCTGCTTAAAGTCAGCTCAATAGCGAAGGAGTCAGTTTGGCACACACCTGTATGAACTACATTAGCCTCGCTATGGAGAAAATCAAGAGCCTTTAGTAGCTCTTCCACAGCTCCCTTCACAAACATCTCGTCAAAGCCACCGTCTTTCCGGAAAACAAGTTTCATGTCCCGAAGACTCATCTGTGCTGGTTGGAATACCAGTGCGGCGTGTCGGCCGTGTGGTCCATCAATCTCAAAAGAGTCCAGTAATTGCCGAATGTTTGTCCGACCAGGGTTCTTTGTCGTTGAAAGCTTTGGGTCCATGTCTTTGTATAGAGGAAGTTCCCGATGGAAGCGAGAGGTATGCACGTACACCTTAAGTGCGACATATCGATGGCCACTAATGTAACCATTAGCCGTAGAGCCTGGAATATGCAAGAGGTTGTAGAATACCTCAAATCTCGAGCCAGCCATATAGTAGATGAGCTACCAAAACCCAGCTTGGCAACGGTCTGGTATCGGCCATGAAACACTTCACCTAAGCGAACAGGATAGAACCGGTCAGCGACATAGTCGGGTAGTTCTTCCTCTTCCACCTTTTGGCTATGATCGATGAGGCTAAAACCCGAGACCGGGAACGACCGCGGCTCCTCGGGTGGCTTTGGCCCCTGTCTGAGCCGGCCTAATGAGCCAGCCAGTTTTGACCACGTAGAAGCCATGCGAGAGATGCTGGTTGAATGTTGTTGGGGCGGAAATTGCGGCCTCCAGACGAGTTTGGCCCTCCTTGAACTGTAGAGAAAAACCGATTCCAGACTCTGCCGTGACGCCATTGTCATTTTGTTGGAGGTCAAGTGCGATGACCTCAATTGAACGAGGAGCATTCATGTCGCGACGCGGTTTAACCGCCGGTCGCGCCCGGAGTGGGGTCATGTGATAGCTGGCCTCCACCATCTGTTGGCCGGATTGCCGCCCGCTGCCTTTAGCGCGGGTTGCGTATCGTTTCAGGTCATTCAGCACAACGTTTATCACCAACAAGCACAATCATTCCTTGATAATTCCATTGCTAACTTGCGGACGGGGCAGCCTTTCGAAGCCAGAGATGCTATTTTTGGGAACCTCTCATACGACACCACCAATCAGGTATGAGGCTAACCCGGACACGAGAAACCGGTGGATGTCGCGGTAGTTAGTCTTGGGCTGAGAGCATTCATGAATCGATGAGTTAATGGAACCCCTGTTCATCTGCTATGGGTTCAGTTTGACCAATTCAAAACTCCCTGGGAGATCCAACAGTGATGCGGCCAGCCTGCGGCCAACCTCTAAGCATGAAATCACGATCCTTTCCTCTTAGTATCCACCTCGGCGTCTAGGTGAACGGAGGACTGACGTCTATAAATTCTGGATCCCATACCTTCTAATATGGAGCCCAGCTATACTCTTCGATCCGTTTTACTTTCTTTTCTCCCCATCTTGTGTATCTCTCCAGTTCTACCGCCATGTCAGCCCGGAATTTCACGACCTCTGCACGCCGACAGCTCCTCAAGCTGCTCGGCAAGGTCACCGTCGAAGACGTGAAAAAGATCAACGGCGAAGCGGGAGAAAGCTGGGCCAACTCTGTTGTGAACACTGCTGCTGAAGTAGAAAACCAAGCGAGTAGCCCGCAGTGTTTCCAGTCAATTTAAGACGCGGCTGCTAATGGACCTCTCAGTACCCTGCTGTTGTGGGCTTTGAAATCCAGTAAGTAGCCCAGCTCCGATAATTTGCTCAGTCTGTGGCTAATCACACTCTCTTACCACAGAGGTGCCAAGGCACACGCGTCACGAAAAAGACCCCGACGATCCTGACGATGTGATTACGTTGGGTTTTTATAGTGCCAACGGGACTCGCTTGCTCAGCGGCCATGTCCACGAAAACGGGTCGTATAAACTGGCTGAAAGTCGGTTGGGGAAGGGAAAGTCAAAGAAGTGAATTCTGGTGTTATTCATGTACGATATTGTCAGTTTGTTGAGATGATCTGACGCACTGCTGCTAGGTGAAATTACTCTCGGTCTATTACTTGGGGATATGGTATTATTGCGCGCTCTGCCTATCTTGGCCATTGCCTTATGTCAACTATGCGATATGGCTCCTGGTGATGCTTCTTTCTTCCGTAGGCTGGCTAGTTATCAAGGCACCGTGATCTGGTAGCGTCCTCCCCTGACTGGAAAGTATCGCCTCTAGACAGCCCTTTGGCCAATGAGACAATGGTCATACGTAATGTGAGAGTTTTATAATTATAAGCCACTATGATATATCTAATTATAGACCCCAAATAAAGATTTTGAGCTTAGAGCAGGCCATTATTATTGTACTGTAAAAAGTGAAGAATGTTAGGCATCTCGACCCCCTTCTTTAGCAAAAGCGAAGACATAATTATAGGTGCCATCGCGACACTACTATATGTTTTGAAGCCAAGCGATATGAAATTAATCCAAACAAAAACAAAAGAGCGAGACAGTCATATCACTACGTGGTCTAGCCACCGACCGTGACCGAGTGGGTAGAGGTCATGCCATAGCTGGGTCTTGCCAGAGCACGTGGACAAGGTAAAGAAAAGCCGTTATACAAGTATTACAGGTTCAGCTGATCGAGCGAGATACTCGATGACCTCTGGTGGAGCCACTCGGGAATCTCCCAATCATCATCTGTTCACATGACCTTCACATCAGGCCTGACAGTTGAGTACATAGCCTCTCCTTACACTCTACTCATTCAACAAACAAAGACCAGCCGTCATCGTATAGGGGTTAGTACATCAGTTTGTGGTCCATCGAGACACTGAAAAACGCAAGTTCGAGTCTTGCTGACGGCAAACCTCTTTTTTGGGTGGTTGAATTGTTCCATCTTGCGATCTTTTTTTTTTTTTTTTTTTGGTGTTTTTAGGACACATCATCAAAGTAGCTACCACGTACCCTTTCTTCATCGATAAAAGAAATTGAAAACCTCTTGAGACTACTGAGAACTTTCCATCTCAGTATGATGCGTTTATGTCTTGAGTTTGTGGTGTGCATGGTGCTCAATGCGTGGCGTCTCAGAGCAGCCTCGAGGCTTAGGAGAAGGATTACTCATGTGTGAGTAGGTATAAAATCATCTTCATGCAGGCTTCCCGCCACTATGTCATCATTTGCCGCAGCTTCTGAAGATGTGCAAATTGCTGTTGAGCTGGGCCTGTGAGATGGAGCAGCACTAGCAGAACTGACTTGGCCTTTTGCCGCCTGTCAGTAGGCATGCTCCCACTCGGTCGGCGCCGCATTGTACTCTTACATATATCGTATCGCGGTCTCTTAAACGAGGATAGATCAAGATGTTTAACGCATGTCACATTTCCCCCCATGATGGGGCAGTTGAGCAGTTGATGCAAAGTGCAACGGGTTTGTAAACATTGACTATCAACCAAAACCAGCTTGCTAAAACAAGAACAGCGTATGCAAAAAAAAAAAAACCTCAAAGCTTCGCCCCCTTGGCAACTCTTTCTTGCCTCTCCTTCTCCCTTAGCTTCCTCCTCAAAATCTTCCCAGTTGGACTCTTTGGAATGGCATCAATGAACTCGACCCCTCCCTTGAGCCACTTATACCTAGCCTTGTGCTCCTCAACGTGTTTATGGATATCTTTCGTGACATGATCTTCATGCTTCTGCTTCGCACTAGATGACTTGACAACGTAAGCCTTGGGGGCCTCTCCGGCTCGTGGGTCTGGGACTTGAATGACTGCACAGTCGTCGACGTGAGGGTGGGTGAGGAGGTGGGCTTCCAGTTCTGCAGGTGCAACTTGATGGCCCTATTATCCAAGTTAGTGGTCGTGTCAATTATAATATGAGGTTATAATACCTTGACCTTGATCAACTCCTTGACTCGATCGACGACAACAAAATGTTCATTCCCAGATGGAGCCTTTCGCACAAGGACCTCGTCACCTGTGCGAATCCAGCGGCCATCCTTATCGGTGAAAAACGTTTCCGAAGTTGCCTTTGGGTTATTAAAGTAGCCCAAGGAAACAGAGTGGCTTTGAATGAGGAGTTCCCCGGGAGTTTCATAATCGGTAATTTCGTTTCCATCAACATCGACGATCCTAGCTTTGGCGCCTGGTACTAAGGAGCCAGTTGATCCTACAAAGGTATCGTGCTCGCTGGACTGAATAAAGACAGTTGCAGTCTCGGTCATACCTTGTAATGGTTAGTAACGCATCGAATTTGCGGAAGTTCTCTTCTCACCGAAACCTTGTCCGAGCCGCCACTTGGGATAGATCCTCAGCAAGTCATCAACAGTTTCCTTTCCAAGTGGCGCTGCGCCGGTGTATAGAAACTCGACACTTTCCAGATCATACTGTCGACAAATATCCTGCCTGCTTAGCATCTCAATGACAATTGGCGGGACGATGCTCAGCTGACGAATCTTGTGTTGGCTCACTGCTTTCAAGAATGTCAAGAATGTGTACCGTGGTAGTACAATGATCTCATCGCCGCGATATGTGCCCAGGTGAGTAATGAGCATGAGACCAAATACATGGCTGAAAGGCAATAGGCCAAGCATGGCTTGACTCTCAACACCGTAAGCTTTGCGCGCAACATCGTCAAATGTGTGAGTCTGAATAACGCCTGCAATAATGTTGAAATGCGAGATCATGACAGGTTTCTAACGCTTATTAGTATTGCTGTTACCACTAGACAGAATAACTCACTGGCAGACCAGACGTTCCACTGGAATAACACAAATAGGCAGCTTGTCGAGCACCCTGTCCTTGAGCCCAGTTCAGAGGCGATAGCGCGGGTAGCTTTTTGCCATCCTCAATTAGATCTTCAATTGTCCGAAACGTCGAATTGGTCTCGACCTCCGGCATCGGAAGGAGGAAAATGTGGTCATTGGGGATCCCAACGGCAGCCGTTGCCTTAAGAGCCGCCTCCAATAAGGGCTGGCAAGTGAAAATGGCCTTGGCTTTAGATAATCGGAGCTGATCTTCAAGTTCTGAGGAAGATAGTGCAGCGCTGGAAAGACTAACTACACCATTGAGTCGATGGATTGAGTGGGTGAGAGGGATGTAGTCAATCTGAAGGACAGTGTCAGTGAGGCAATACATCGCTTCCAATTAATAAACAAACCGTGTTGAATGAATACACGCCAACTACTTTGTCCCATTCCGAGCCACGTTGAGGATCGAACTTGAGTGCTTGACCGATGCCTCGAGCGAGATAATCTTCTCGCGCGATTACTTCAGAGGCATCGCGCGTTTTACCAGTAAGCCCACAAGTGTACGGGTTTCGTGATTTAGCAATGGCGCAGCGTCCATATTTTTCCGTGCTCATGAACTCGGCGACTGAGATTGAGTCTGGCGGTTCTAGCTTCTGGTCAGCAAAGTGCTCGCAATAAGGACGTTGGGATAAATACGTATGGGCAACTCTGGAACCCATGGAGGCGGTGTAAAGACCATCGTGAAGTGCCTAGACTAGTGATTGATGGCAATTGACTATATCACAAAGATAAGATCGAGGTGGTGTGGAGGTGTCAAGATGCAGACATCGTTATCAATCTATGTGATATTGCGGCCTTTTTCTCGCCCCGAGCCGACCCCGCAACCCAACCGATGCCATGAGACAGTTGAGACTTGGCGATCCGTGGGGGTCATTTGTCAATAGCGTGCACAAGTTGTATCTCACCGTTTCCTCGACATCCATTGCGGGGTTTCTGGTCTCCGTTTAGACTCCGACTGGTTCGCCTCGGTGCATAAGTGCTGATATTGGTCACGAGACCTTGGATATGCATCAATGTTACCTTCGATTGATGGAATGGAGATTCATCATTGATAGGTGTTGCTACCCGGGAGATGAGGGTCTCAGGGGGTCGTGAGAAATATCTCAGTACTCAGCCCAAGTTGAACGGAATTGGTCGAAAGCTCAATGCTATCAAATATTGAAGCGCCATCTCATCATTGACCGAAGAATCCTTACTATTACGGATGTCGCTTGAGGTTATAGAAACTTGTCTGTTCAATCTTCTTTATTCCACAAACGCGAGTATCGCGTAATTTCGCCAAAAACGCGTGCAACATGGCTTTTCATTCGTGGGAAAATAATTCATGCTAATAATGAAAATGAACAATATTTTAGCATTAATTTCATTACTTTAGACTTTTGAAGTCCCTAAAACTACTATTTCATGAGCTTGCAGCAACAAGCTTCTGGACCAAGCCCAAGATGCCAGCAGCAGTGACGGGCTCCTCCGACCTCTTGAATCCTTCCTCAAAAGGCAAACGCTCTTGTTCTAAATCATGTTAGTAAGACTTTTAACAAAGGGAATGAGGTGACTTACCGAACAACACCTTGACCCAGTCAGTGACGGCGTTGCCCTCCGTGACATCTCCAAAAATGGACAGGTAGAGGGCAGACTCGATGAAGCTGAACTGGGCACCATCGGCGGTGAGACTAAACTCGGGATTGGCGGCGGCAGCAGCCTGGAGACGCTGCTTTCTGGCGGTCGCGGCTGTCTGGATGGAGATGGTGGATTCGGTAAAGTGAGAGGCCACGGAGTCCCAGATGGTCTGGTTGAAGCTGTGGTTGTCGCCAAAGAAGATGTCGCTGCGACTAAGGCTGCCGTCGTGCTCGATGACTAAGATAATCAGCATTACAATTCATGAACAATATCGCATTCCACTTACCGCCATGCTTGTTCAGGTTGTCCAAGTCAAAAGTGACGTTATCTCCAGTGGTCAGTGCCTTTTGTCCCACCAGCGTAGTAGCAGCAGGGTCCAGGTTGACGGCATCGGTGAAGGCGACAATCAAGTCGGGCAAAGAAATGTTCAATCCGTCGTGAGGAAGATATCCATGGTTTGCCAGCGAGTTGACCATAGGACAAGGGCTTCTTCCTGCTTGGTGTCAGTGGAAATCCTCGTCTCTTGGAGGTAGACACGTACGGTCATAGGCGCCGGGGGCCTTCCACTCATTGCTGGCACTCACAGCGGCAGCAGCTGACAAGAGAAGTGGGACGTGATACAACATGGCTGAATACCTGGCTGAAGGACATACACTGACTGATGAACATATTCATTTGCGCTAGGGATCGTGGACTGACTTTATCTACTTCTCACGACACACAAGCCTCGGCATGACAAACTCCTTAACACCTAAGAATAGAAAAAACCGTTACAACTTCCGCATAAGGCGAACGTCCGTACCATGAACTTGCATTGTCTTCCACAAAATATGCTTTTTTTTTAGTGTGAAATGCCGAGGCACACGGACGAGTTCCAGAAAAGTCGGCCGAGCCGTAGATCGTCGGAGATTATTGCTCCTAAAAGACTTGACCGGCCGTTACCGATACGGATACAGGGGTGGCCTGGGAGCAGTGGACCAATGATGAGGCAGGTGATTACGATTTTATAATGCTGACGCATTGTTGGACGGGAGCCGGATATGACGAGTGCGACTCTGATGGACTTTTGTACGCCGGGGTCTGTTTCAAGGGTAAACTCCCGTGAGATTCTCCCCTTTTCGCTGACAGAAACTGGAATTTGCCAAGCCGTGACTGGGTGAACGGGCGCCAGATCTCGCCTTTTTCGGGACATCGTAGGAAGCTTTGACAATCGGACAGTGCTGAGATTTCACGAGTGCAGTAAGATAATAGTAAGAAACAGGATCTGAAAATTCCCTTCGACTATCGACATCATGAAAAACCAACGGAAAGTCGAGATAACTACTACATGACCTAATAAGTCTAGGTCTCCACCTTGACAGTCGGGACATTGGGATAAATATCAGGAATCGACTGAATCTCAACAGGCTCCGTCTCAGGGATTCGCTCAGCATCAACCCAATTGCCATGA